ATTATATATATATTTTTATTTTATATATAGTTATTTTATATATAATTATAACATATCTTATTTAATTTAATATTAATATAAAAATTGTGAACACGAATGTAGTATGAACAGCGCCCGAATTTATTATGCTGGAGAAACTCGGGTTCAATCCGCGGTAGATTCAAGAAATTTTCACACATTGATAACTCTTCTTCGGCGCGGCACGGGACGGTCTGACAAGCCATTGTAAGGCTGCGTTTGAAAATATTACCCGCATGTCTCCGAGTATCATTTTATCTTTATTGTTCACCGAATATTAAACAAAGACAAAATGATATTCGAAGATACTCGGATAGTGTTTCCGAACGTATCCATTGCCAAGAAAACCTCTCAAACTACCGTCCGGTCCGGAATCAACGTTAAATTATAAGCCCGTATGACTATGTAGAATCGGTGCTCACGGCGAGCAACCGATCGATAGGCCTTGTCCCGACTTTGGGATATCGCGCCAACGAATGAATGATAAAAATAGAAATTGACTTATTGATTGATGTTTGAAATTTATTACGACTTATTAATAATATTCCATTATATGAAAATATAAATATGAAAATAGATGACTTATAATATTTTCAATATTTACATAATACAATAAACGTTAATTGTTTTAATGCCTTTTTTATTCTTAAAAACATCTCCTATAATATACATATATGTAGTGCTAATTAGCTTATACTTTATAGTTACTGGAAACATCAGATAATTACATGTAACTTGTACATTTACAACAAAAGTCATTTAAAAAGTTACATTAAATGATTATTCTATTTATTAGTGACACAAATTATATAAAAATAAAATGAAAGGTTAATATGAATAATAGTAACTAACAACAAAAGAAAGAGTCAACTAGAAAAAAGTATCATATGCAATATATAATTTGAAAAACTAAACAATATATATATATACATAGAAAAGATAAAAATAGATAATAAGTAATTTAAAATTATTAAAAATGATATACATATATACATACAAAATAATAGCTAACGAAAACTTTCTATTAATTTGTTTTATATAATCAACAAATATAATCAACAAATGTATACGAAATATGTTATAAAACAAGATTTTATTTTTAATTTTAAATATTAACATGAATTATTAAGTCACTGCATAATTTAAAGATCTTTTAATTTTTTTACAATTATCATTATATTCGTTTTTTAAATATTTTAATTTTTTGGATGAAAAGAAAGCGAGTCTCTCTCTCGAAAAATTTATTGAATAACTTTAAAATAATCACGTTGAATGAAAAAAAATTAAAAAAACAATCGAAAAAAATTATTTATATTAAACACCAAATTAAAAATCACTGATCCTATTTATTGAATTGCACTAAATAACGATACTCACTCTAAATAATTTAGAAATAACATATAATACAGAATTAACAGAAATAGAAGAATTGATAAATACGCATTAAAATTGTTTATTAACGTGCAAAATACGAAATAAAAATACTTGTGTATTGTATTTAATTTTTACGAAAAGTAATATTGCACACAATTGGTCATTAAGGCAACTATACACTTCAGACTTAGACATCTTAAAATCAATTACGACTATGTAAAATATAATCGCTACGTCTACATAAGCTGTCGTATGACTAAGTATTTATCCAACCATTATCTCAGATATTATTCATGAATATTTCGAATGTTGTCATGCTAGTAATTATTCGAAATTGTACAACAAGAGAGAAGAAAAGAGAATTTTTAAAACCTCCTGTCGTGAACATTAAATATTTCATCCTTTTAAAACTATTCTACAATGTGCTCTTTGTTTCTTGTTTCTTGTTTTTTACTTTTTGCTTTTTTCTCCTTCACAACCGTTATATCGATAATTATATTTCTTGCTATGTATTTGTTATTTTTTTTTAAATTTGTTAACTTTTATCTCGGGCGGTATAAAAAAATCAGATAAAAAGCAAATAGACATGATGTAAAAAATAGCAAAAAGCAAGAAACAGGAAACAGAAAACACATAGAACAGGCTTTATTACGCACACGAAATATCATCCCTATTGTATGAACATTATTAAAGAAACGAATCAATTTATCTTACGTCCAACATGAAAGCATCAAAACATCATGCGTATCAAAATCATGGCAGCTATGATAATGGATTATTAGTAAAAAAAGATCAGACAAAATATATTTCGTCCAAAGGGATAAGATCGTCTTGCATAAATATAAATAAAGATTTTACCTTTAAATATTATTTTCTCCAATATTCGTATATTTAAATATTACAACAGAAATATATAACAATTTCCAAAATAATAATCAAATATGTATTAGTTTCTTTACTATCGTGAAGATTTTTTTTTTTTTTAGATTAGTTGCATTGTGCATAATGCAATAAATAACAATTATTAACTGTTTTAGTATATTCACTTTTTGCTATTAAAAAATAACGCTTTCCATCTTGATGCAAAGAAAGAAACAATCACAGGTTTACAAAATAATACTAAATGTTCATATTAAATGCTGAAATAATGCAAAACGAGGGTTGATGATAATATCACAAAATATCCATATCAATTAAAAATAATCGTCAACACGCATGTTCCGGTTATAATTAACTGGAATCACATAAAGAATCATATCCAGAACCAGATAAAGTATCATATCATCACGTCGGATCGATGTGTTCCACCGTTCAAGCATGTCTGGAACGTTATAATCAGTGTAGTCATAGTGAGTGGCTCTAAGAAAGAGAGGGAGAGAGAGGGAGAGAGAGAGACTGGCGGCCTTCTACTTTTACTAAAGAAATGTTATCGCAAAATCATCATTTAAATCCACTTGAAAACAATGTCATTAGCGGACTTGGTGTAATTAAAATATATATATTTATTATATTTATATTTATTATTTTTATACTATAATTGAATGTTTATATAGATATTGTTGTTTGCTTTAATTTTTGAGTAATTAGATGCCACAATTGTTGAACGATGTAAATAATAGGTTCCGCAAAATACAAATCATAAAAAAATATACTCATAAGAATCAATACAATAAATTCACAATAAATTTTCCCCTATAAGCATAATATAATACCTTAATTCTCTATCTACATTATTTAGTATACATCAAAAATAATAGTAAAATAAAATATAAATTCTAATAA